AATAAAATAAATAAAACTGTGGGGCCGGTGCTGTGGCTTAGCCGGTAGGGCCGCCGCCTGCAGTGCCCTATGGGTGCTGGTTCTAATCCTGGCTGCTCCTCTTCCAATCCAGCTCTCTGCTACGGATTGGGAAAGCAGTGGAAGATGGCCCAAGTCCTTGGGCCCCTGAACCCACGTGGGAGATCCGGGAGAGGCTCCTGGCTCCTGGATTTGGATCAGCACAGCTCCGGCTGTTGCGGCCAACTGGGGAGTGAACCGGGGGATGGAAGCCCTCTCTCTCTCTCTCTCTGCCTCTCCTCTGTCTGTGTAACTCTTTCAACTAAATAAATAAATCTTTAAAAAAATAAAAAAATAATGTCATCACACAGAGCATGCATTCTGCTGTTGGATAGCTTGTACAATTCCATGCTGTCTCTGTCTGGTGAATTCACTCATTTAACATACTTTCCTGGCCCTTAGAAAAGATTTTATTTGCTAACTAGAACTATTTGAGGGTAGGGGCTAGGCCAAATCCAGAATCTTTATTTGCAAGTGGGAATTCCATCTATACATCTTAGAATATGTTTCTAGGCTGCATTCCACAGCTTCTAAATATTATTCTTGGTCTTCAGTAACAATCTATTTCACCTAGCTAGTGTACACCTAGTATGTTTACTCATGTGTGTGCACACATTGTGTGTGTGTACAGGTGTGTGTGTGTGTTAGAGGTCAGGAAAAAGATAGGAGGAAACAGAGTGTGATTTGTTGATTAAGAACTGTCCTTTTTGTTCTTTTTCTTTCTTTTGTTTTTTTTTCTTTTCATTTATTTTCTTTTTTAATATTTCATTTATTTACTTGAAAGGCAATTAAAGAAAGAAAGATATCTTTCATCCACTGGTTCATTCCCCAAACGGCCACAATGGCTGCGGCTGGGCCAAGCCAAGCCAGGAGCCTAGCAATCCATCCCACATCCCACGTGGGTGGCAAGGGCCCAAGCACTTGATTTATCTTCCACTGATTTCTCAGGCACATTAGCAGGGAACTGGATCAGAAGTGGAGCAGCAGCAACTCCAACCGGCACCCATATGGGATGCCAGCATTGCAGACGGCAACTTTACCTGCCACGCCACAGCACCAGCCCTATGATTTGATTTTTATCATGCTTTATTTGAGAAGCAGACACACAGAGAAAGAGAGAGAGAAGGACAGACAGAGAAAGAGCTCGCCCATCCACAGGCCCATCCCCCAAATGACTGAAACACTCAGGGCTGGCCTGGGGCTAAAGCTAGGACCAAGGAACACAATCCAGGTTTCCCACACGGGTGGCAGGAACTGTTGTGGGGGAGGAGGTTTATTTATCTTTATTGCAAGAATTCTTAGTTTTGACATATATAAGGCAAATTTTATTCAGAAGGTGAGAAAGTGAACATACGCATGTGAGCATGGATTGCCCCACAGAGAGAGATACCTGTCCTAAGTGGGCAGCAGGCCAGAGGAGAGCAGGGTGGGTGAGGGGAGACAGAGCATCTCAGTACCTCCTCCAGTTATGGTCTCTAGCAGAAGAGAAAGAGCACCTCCCAGCCCCTTCTTTTATGAGTTGTGGGGGCTGAGAGTGTCTCTACAGACATAAAGCCACTTGGGAGTTTTATAGTACTCCTATAAAATTCCATGTGGAGCTTTTTTAAAAAAAATATTTATTTTCGGCCGGCGCCGCAGCTCACTAGGCTAATCCTCCGCCTTGCGGCGCTGGCACACAGGGTTCTAGTCCTGGTCGGGGCGCCGGATTCTGTCCTGGTTGCCCCTCTTCCAGGCCAGCTCTCTGCTGTGGCCAGGGAGTGCAGTGGAGGATGGCCCAAGTGCTTGGGCCCTGCACCCCATGGGAGACCAGGAGAAGTACCTGGCTCCTGCCATCGGATCTGTACGGTGCGCCGGCCGCAGCGCGCCAGCCACGGCAGCCATTGGAAGGTGAACCAACGGCAAAGGAAGACCTTTCTGTCTCTCTCTCTCATTGTCCACTCTGCCTGTCATTTGAAAGGCAGAGTTGGAGAGAGAGAGGGAGATACAGAGACAGAGAGAGAGAGATCTTCCATCCACTGCTTCACTCCCAAATGGCTGGGCTGAAGCCAGGAGCCAAGAGCTTCTCCCAAGTTTCCCACGTGGGTACAGGGGCCCAAAGACTTGGGCCATCTTCAGCTGCTTTCACAGGCACATCAGCAGGGAGCTGAATTGGAAGTGGAGCAGCAGGGACTTGAACCCATGTCCATATGGGATGCCGGCATCAAAGGCAGCAGCCTAACCCAATACACTACAATGCTGGCTCCCCATATGGAGCTTAACATATATAAGTTTATGGTGTCTTTTCCTCAGGTTCTAGATGAACCAGCGGCTGGAATCTCTCTCTCTCTCTCTCACTCTCTCTCTCTCCTTTTTCTTTCTTTCTGTAACTCTGACTTTCAAATAAATGAATAAATCTCTCTTTTTTTAAAAGATTTTTATTTATTTATTTGACAGTTACAGACAGTGAGAGACAGAAAGGTCTTCCTTCCATTGGTTCACACCCCAAATGGCCACAATGGCCGGAGCTGTGCTGATCCAAAGCCAAGAGCCAGGTGCTTCTTCTTGGTCTCCCATGTGGGTGCAGGGTCCCAAAGACTTGGGCCATCCCAGGCCACAGCAGAGAGCTGGATTGGAAGAGGAGCAGCCGGGACTAGCACCGGCACCCATATGGGATGCCGGCGCCGCAGGTGGAAGACTAAGCTACTGAGCCATGACGCCAGCCCCTGAATAAATCTTTTTTTCTTTTCTTTTTTTTTTTTTTAAAGAATAAAGGGTGTGAGATAATGGTGGAAGATGCATAAGCACAGGTGTTACATTTAATGCTGCAGTTTGGGGAGTTAGAAAGGGTTCTGTTTGGATTGTTGGTGGAAACATAAACAAAAATATGGGCCCACAGTGAGTGCTATGGATTGAATAGGACATGGACTTTCTGGAAAACTGACCCTAAAAATAGTGGCGGGGATTTCAGCAAAGCATTCAGGCCACAGCATGGGTATTATTGAATGCTTTTAGTAAGTTTTAAATTGGCAATAAGGAGCGTAACAGAAAGATTTGAAAATTTGCAGCCTGGCCAGAAAAGGAAGGAAAGAAAAAGCTTCTTCAGGACAGGCAAACAAGATGAACAAACAACTTGATAAAAAGATCTGTGCAAGTAAAAGGAAGCCATGTGCTAAAAGGCGAGATAATGAGAAAAAGACCTCAAAGGCATTTGAGAAGTTTTCAGGGCTGCCCTTGAGTAGCAGGCCCAGAGACCTGGAAGGGCAGAATTGTTTCATGAAACCCCAGGGCCAGTTCTGGTTTCTGGATTGCTGACAAGTTGCTCTGAGGCTCCTCCTATAACCCTGGTTCAAGCAGGACCAGGCACAGCTCTTGCTGGCAGCAGACCTTGGCATTATCCATGTGATACTGGTTTTGTGGTCACGTCGAATGTGAAAGTTATGGAGTCATGATGGCTTTCACCAAGATTTCAAAGGAAAGCCTGGAAGGCCAGGCAGTTATGGAGTCAGAGTCTTTGTCTGGAGCCTTTAATAGGGTGATGCCTATTGAATGCATAATGGAGATCCCAGAGAGGTTGAGGTACCAGTGATGTGAAATGCCTGCCAATGAACGCTTCAAGCAGCATGCAATGTAAGCCTTAGAAAACTAGACATGAGTGTGCAACCCCAGAGAATAGCTATATAGGCAGAGTCCAACATAGCCATGGAGAAATGGAGGCCTCCACCCAGATTTCAAAGAAAGTCTTAGACAATGTAGGGGACCAGGCAGAGACCTATTGCAGCAGGGCACAGACACTGCAGAGAGCCCCAAATAGGGCAGGGCCACACAGGAATGTGTTGGAGCTGCCACAGAGTCCCTGTCAGGTAAATGCATATTGGAGCCACATGTGAGATCTGCAGCATGGCCTACAATCAGCAAGGCCGCAGGGGCAGGGCTGCCAAAACCCTTGGGAGTCCATCCCCTGGCATATTGTGCCTGCAATGCTATACATGGAGCTTCAGCATTTAATGTCTGCCCAGGTGGTTTTTGTCTAACTGTGGCCTGATTCCTCATTCTCATTTCGCTGTTCTTTGCTTTTGGAATGTTCCACTATTGTATCTTGGAAGTTTGTAACTTATTCTTGGCTTGAAATAAGCAGCTCACAGCTAAATGAGTTGGCCTTGAGCCTCCAGTGAGACTCTGGACTTTCGACTTGCATTCACATCAGACTGCGGTAAGACTTTGGAAATACTGAGAATTGGATGATTACTGTTATATGTGAGAAAGACATGCATGAGTTTTGGGGATCCAGGAGCAGATATAGTTTGAATAGGATATAGATCTCAAACTCATACAGACAGGTTCCCAAAGTCAAAGGTTGATACTACTAATATGGGGGAATCTTTTTTTCTCAAAGATTTATTTATTTATTTATTTAAAAGGCAGAGTTACAAAGAGAGGGAGAGAGAGAGAGAGAGGTCTTTCATCTGCTGGTTCACTCCCCAAATGACCACAACAGCTGGACCTTGGCCAGGTGAAATCAGGAGCCAGGAATTCCATCTGGGTCTCCCACATGGGCACAGGGGCCCAAGCACTTGGGCCATCTTCTGCTGCTTTCCCAGGCACATTCTCAGGGAGCTGAATTGGAAGTGAAGCGCCTGCAACATGAACCGGAGCCCATATGGGATATTGGCATTGCGATACTTGGGTTAACATGCTGTGCCACCATGCTGGCCCCCGGGATGTAATCTTGGTCCAATTTTTGATGTCTGGGAGGTGGACCTAGTGGGAGATCCTTAGGTCATTGGGGGCATGCCCTTAAAAGGTAGTTCTCTCAAGATAGTTGGTTATAAAAGCTAGAAAGATATCTCTCTCTCATTTTCTCTCTATAACTCTTTCAAATAAAATTTTTGTTTAAAAAAAGTCAAAGTTGGACCCAGTTGTTTTTCTCCTGCTTCTTGGCTCCCCATATGATTGTTCCTCTGCAGATTCTCCACTGTTGCCATCTCTGGCCTCACCAGATGGCTGAACCAATAGAGACCGCTCAACCTTGGATCCTCCTAAACTGTGAGCAAATATAAACTTCATTCCTTCATAAGTAGCTTGTCTTAGGTACTTCACTGTAGTAATGCAAAGCTAGCTGTTACAGTGAGTGAAATGGAAATCCTGCACCTCCCTTGATTTAATGTGAAAGAATCAAAGTCTTATGGAGATTGGAATCATAAAGTGGATTTGCCATTTAAAACCTACTCACCTGCACTGTGAGCATTCAGAAGACATACCTTTCACTTATTTTTTAAATTTATTTTTTCATTTTAACGTATATGTCAAAATTGTGCATATCAAACTTTGCAGGGGGAGCTCTGGCATCTTAAAAACTCAGCGATCACTCAGTTCTATAAGCCAGAATTCACAGTGGGAATTGTGGTAACTAGATTGGGAAACCTAGCTATACTGAGAGTAATTGGATCCTGAAGTGGCCGTGGCAAGTAGTGACACTCAGCTGCCCAAGGCAAGATAGATGTAGTTACTGTAATGGACAGCAGAGACAAATCAGCAATTACTTGGGCTCAGGAACCTGAACTTCCACTTAACAAGCTTGACCTGACCACATCAGCTGCTGAATATTCAGGAACAGACACCAAAACCGAGATCCTGATATGGCATCATTCCCTGGGGTGATCATCCACCTACCTGGTTACAGGCTTATTGTATTGGAATGCTTCCATCATGAAATGAGAAATGTTTTGTTCTTATTTGGACAGACTACTCACTTTGGATATGAATTTGTTTTCTTTGCATGCAATGCCTCTACCAAAACTACCATCCATGGACTTATAGAATTGCCTTCTCCAGGGGCCAGCATTGTAACACAGCAGATTAAGCTTCTGCTTGTGATGCTAGCATCCCATATCAGAGTGCTGGTTCAAGTCCTAGATGCTCCACTTCCAATCCAGTTCCCTGCTTATGTGCCTGGAAAAGCAGTGTCTGAAGGCCCAAGTACTTGAGCCCCTGCCACCCATATAGGAGTCCTGCATGGAATTTCAGGCTCCTGGCTTTGGCTGGGCCCAGCCCAAGCTGTTGAGACCATTAGGGGAGTGAACCAGTTTCTCTCTGTCTCTCCCTCTCTCTCTGTCACTCTGCATTTCAAATAAATAAATAAATCTTTTGAAACTGAAAAATTCCTGTTACCTAATGACACTGTGACCCTTGTAATGTCCTAGTGCAATGTGTTAGTCACATGTTTGTGGTGATGCTGGTGTAAACAAATCTATTGCACTGCTAGCCATATAAAAGTGCAATACATACAATGCATAATATTTGAGAAAGATAATAAATGCCAGGGCCCGGCGCTGTGGCTCACTTGGCTAATCCTCCGCCTGCAGCGCCGGCACCCCGGGTTCTAGTCCCGGTTGCTCCTCTTCCAGTCCAGCTCTCTGCTGTGGCCCGGGAAGGCAGTGGAGGATGGCCCAAGTGCTTGGGCCTCTGCACCCGCATGGGAGAAAGCGCCTGGCTCCTGGCTTCGGATCTGTGCAGCGCCAGCCGTAGCGACCATTTGGGGAGTAAACCAACGGAAGGAAGACCTTTCTCGCTCTCTCTCTCACTGTCTATAACTCTACCTGTCAAATAAGTAAATAAAAAAAAAAAGATAATAAATGCCTGTTACTGGTTTATACATTTACTATACTTTTAATCACTGTTATAGAGAGTATCCCTACTTATAAAAATAAGTTTGCTATAAAGCAGTATGCTATGTTATGATGGCAGCAGCTTTATACATCTCATGTCTACTGAGCCTTTTAATTGCAGCAAGAGATCACATCAAGTGATTGAGCTATACCATCTAGGTTTGCCTAAGTATACTCTACAGTGTTTACACAATGATAAAATCACCTAATGATACATTTCTCAGGATACATCCTGTCACTGAGCAATGTATATACATTTTTATTTTCTTTCCTCTCTTACTTTCTTATCACCTAACATAAGATATGTTGACTTTATAGTATATAATTATGGCATGTCAAGGAAAAGAGTTAAAATCATTGGAGGAATTTATTTCCTGGTTTTTTTTTTTTTTAAGAGATTATTTACTTGAAAGGCAGAGTGAGAGAGAAAGAGACAGAATTTTCCATTTACTAGTCCACTCCCCAAATTCTCACAGCAACTAGGGCTGGGTCAGGCCAAAGCCAGAAGCCAGGAGCCAGGAACTCCATCTGAGTCTTCCACATGGGTACAGGGACCTAAGTACTTGGGCCATCACCTGCTGCCTCGCAGGATCATTAGCAGGAAGCTAGATTGGAAGAAGTGGGACTGCAACCCAGGCATTCTGATATGGGATGTGGATGTTTTGAGAAAGGGTTTAACCCACTGCACCACAATACCTCCCCCTATCTCCTGTTCTGAAGAAGAGATTAGTGAGTTTTTAGTTGTATGCAGGATGATTATATCAAATTAGGCATAATTATGACCTTGGTATTGTCCTTACTTGGTGATGAAGTATGGTTTAAGGATATATGTATGGGTGTCAAGTTGACAAAGGGTATACTTGTGATAGTTAAATTTACATGTCAACTTGACTGGCTCAAAGGATGCCCAGTTATTTGGCTAAACATTCTTTTTGGATGTGTCTGTGAGGTGTTTTTTTTTTTTTTAATATGATTAGCATTTGAATCAGTAGACAAAGTAAAGCAAATTGCTCTCCCCACTGTGAGTAAGCATCATGCATTACATTGTGGGCCTGAACAGACTAAAATGGTGGGAGAAGGATGAATTTGCTCTCTGTACCTGGATGTTTGAGGAGGAACATTAATCTTCTCCTGCATTCGGACTGAGAATTACACCATCAGATGCCCTGATACTCTGACTAAGCCTGAACTGCACTATTGGCTTCCCTGAATCTCCAGCTTACACATGGGAGATGATAGAATTCTCAGCCTCCTAATCACATTAGCAATTCCTTATAATGTTTCTGTCTCTAGATAGATGATAGATAGATTGGTTCTGTTATTCTGCAGAATCCTAATATTCATGCATAACATATTTTTCCTATGGGAAAATGAATTCTGAATTCTCAAGGAACTAAAAGTAAGTTTTGGGGTCTAGCGTTGTGGCACAGCAGGTTAAGCCACCACCACATGTCAGCATCCCCTCTGAGCCTGGTTCAAATCCTGGCTGCTTTGATTCTAATCTAGCTCCCTGCTGCAAAGGCAGCAAAATGGCCCAAGTGCTTGTGTCCCTGCCACCCACATGGAGTCCCAGCCTCCTGGTTTCCCGTCTGGCCTCACCCTGGCCATTGTCACCATTTGCAGAGTAAATCAGTGGGTGGAAGATCTGTCTCTGTCTCTCCCTCTCTCTCTGTAACTCTGTCTTCCAAATAAATAAAATATATATTTTAAAAAGGGTTCATTAAGAAATTGAAATAAAAGCATGATGCCAAAAAATGTTTTAGATAATTTTTAAAAAAGCGCCCAGGTTTTGCTAATGAAACTGAGCCTTGGATGCAGGCCCTAGATAACATCAGGTCCTAGTCTCCCAGGCTCCCTCCCTCAGCTTACAGTTTCCTTACCCTGCTCTTACAATTGCAAATCAACCACTTGCTAAAATCAATTCACTGAATTGAGGGAGTGGTGCAGCAGCCTTACAGGGTTCTGAATTGCCATTCTTATAGGCTTTTAATAATAACGAGATAATGACTCATGAGGTCATTCATCTACTCTAGGAGTTGCCTTTCCAGGGACTCCAGGTCTAGAGCAAAAAGTAACTACCACTGGCATGTAGCCCTCAGACTGAAGCCCATTTTGCCGTTATCAAAATTTCCTGAAGAATGCAATACAGGAGCCAATCCAAGGAAGGCCACAGCCTTGCCAACCAACCAGAGACATGAACACATGCTGGGTGTTCTGTACCAGGAAAAAAATCTATTCTGAAAAAATGTTGGGCGCTCCAACCCCGGGCAGCCCAGGGGTGGGCGCGCAGCTGCAGCCCCAACCTCGGCGTTGCCCAGCTCCGCGGCGGGCACAAGGCGAGGCCCGGCCATGGCGGCCACCAGCACCACGGGCTCCACCCTGCTGCAGCCGCTCAGCAACGCCGTGCAGCTGCCCATCGACCAGGTCTGAACTGTGATGAATCCCGCTCTCTAGATGAGGAAATAAGTGAAATTCTCAGCGCGTAGCCTCTTAAAGACGGTGGCTTTCAGGAGGTGGCAGTAAGGAGTGCAGAGATGTGTTTAGGTTACCCTACATATGCTGCAGGCTTAGGACACGAATGTCTCTCCTGCGTGCTTTTACAGCGACGCGAGCAGAGCATCGCTCGACGTGAGCAGAACATGCTTACGCGGGCTGTTGTGAAGATCCCTCCGCATCAGGGAGGCGCCCACGCCTCGGCACCCTGAGGCTGAATTTTGGGCTCTGTCAACTTTGTAGTGTGCCAACTCTTTGCGTTGCTGGCAGCCATCTGGTTTCGAACTTACCTACATTCAAGCAGAACCAGTGGGAAAAAACTCAAAGAGGAAAGAATACACATGAGAACATTCCGCTCTCTCTTGATCCAAAAAAAATTGACGAAAGTGAAAATAATTTGGGCCAGAACAGTTTTTCCACCACAAACAATATTTGTAGTCAGAATCAAGGAACAACCTCTAGACATTCATTGCTGAAGCAGTGACCGGGAGCCCTCCGTCAACCATTTGGGGACAGACGCCTGTCCTTTCGGAGAAAGCACCTTTCGGAGGAGAAAGTGACTGGGGGGAATGGGACTGTTGCAGAGAGGGAATTTACGGGTGAGCCAGATGGGGCAGCAGAGTGAAACAGCCCCTTCCACGCCATGTCCCTGCGGCCACACCTTATCTAAAGTCTTTTCCTGTTTCACTGGGGCACTGCCACGCACAGCCCGCCATGCCACTGACTGAATTCATGTTGTGTACCCCGAGGTGCTGAAGAGGTGGACGGATAATCATGTCGGTCTGGGTGATTGGGAAAAATTAAGTTTTCCAAATGAATGTCTTGCCTTAAACCCTCTCTTTCCTGTAATCTTGTTCCTACACGGTATTTTCAAATGTAAAATTG